TCAGATGTCCCTCTCTGCTAGGCTTCCTCCCAGCTTGTCCCACCCCTTGCCACATCACTGCTGGAATAAACCCTGCCCGTCTCTGTGCTTCCTCTGCTCGCTCCCCATTCTGCTCCCTGTGTCAGAACGAACTGCTTCCATGTTATCATCTCCTGTGAGGTCAGACGTTCCCTTGAGGTTAAGGACTGTGTCTTGTTCATGGGTGAATTCCCTCCTCCTACCCTGGGGGCCTAGTGGTATGAAGCTGCACCGAAATTCTGAAGCACACGGTTTGAACCCACCAGCTGCTCTGCGGGAGAAGGATGAGCGATCTCCTCCCACGCGATTCACCACCTCTGAAAACCTGCTGGAGGGTCAGCTATGGATCAGTTTAGACTCGATGGCAAACAGCAACAACTCATCAATACAGCCTCAAACATATCAATTGCTCAGTACATATTTATTAAACGAGTGAATGGTAGAAAAGTGAAGTGTGGGTGCCTGGACAGTTGCTCTTCCAACTCACAAGCTCATACACTAGCAAGCATATGGGGTGGGCGGGGGTGTGTGTGCACACGGCCGAGTATGTGGAAGCCCGCCTGGGCACAGATTGTGTACGTCTTGCTAAAGGCCATTTAAATTCCCATCTCCTTTTTGGTGGAAGAACAGTTCCACCTACTAGACTGAATGGAGGAAAGACGTCCAGGATGTATGCATTTGGAGGGAGGGAGATTCTTTCTTTGAGATGGTCAGGAAGGGAAGAGCTGGGTTCTGGAAGACCACAGAGCGAGGCCTTCCTCTGCTCATTTGGAAACGTGGGCTTCGGCAGGATACCTCTCGGGCACGTTCTCTGGTCCTGGGATCACCACTGGGTTGGCTGCGTAGACGTTGGGGAGGACCACACCTCTCTGCACAAGAACACAGGACAGGCAGTGTGAGGGCAAAGAAGGTCTGAGAGGTCTTGGTACACGCGGACTGCCCCGGTCCTGCGCAGGAGGGAGGAGCATGGATCCGCCTGCTGTCTCCATCGTCAAGGCTGGGCTCTTCCCACCTGTTGAACACCCCCACCCCATTCCTTGCTTGGGACTCACATTGTTGTACTGGTAGCAAGACAGCTGGCAGCCGAAGTGGGAAGAGGTGCATGCAATGCAGAACTCCAGCAGGCAGAAAATGAGCAGTGCACAAGAAATCGCCACCCCGGGGCTCTGGAATGAGGGCAGATTGGGAAGAACTGAGGGCCAAGCGGGATATCCGGTGTTCTGTGATTACCATGGCTTCAAGGACATACCCTTGTCTCTCTTAGCTTCATAGGAAAACCTATCTTAGTGGGATTTTGTGAGGATCAACTGAAGGTGTAAAAATATCATCACTCTAGGGGAGCTCTGGTGGCCTAGTGGCAAGAAGCTGCACTGCAATCCCAGAGACGCACGGTTCAAATCCACCAGATGCTCTGTTGGGAAAGGAGGGACAATCTCCTCCTGTACAGTCAGATCCGATTTGACAGTACACACACACACACACACACACACACACAT